CCATAGCCACAATTTTGAATACAAAAGAAAACTAACGAGAAGGGACGTGTGAGACGCTTCTTACGCGTCAAAACTTTTATACTCGGTACTCTGTACTACATCTCTACCTTTGGCGTTTTTTTTTTTTATCAAATATTGAATTTTTTCTTCATCTGTCATCTACATATATCTACATCACTTCTCACGCCAACCGCCAAGCTACAGATGTACATAGTACTGAGTACCGGGTATAAAAGTTGTGACGCGTAAGAAGCGCCTCACACGTCCCTCCTTGTTTTTAGTTGACATTGTAAATCTAAGTTCAGGTGACTTAAAAGATTTTAATTAACACACTCGTAGTCTGAGATACTCGTATATCGCGGTGCAACAAACGCCCCACGAATTGATTTTTGCGCGCAGGCTAGAGAATTTTTACCAGCGGCCTCAACGGGGAAAATTTAACTAAAGTTCGGGAGAGGAGAGAGTGTATAGGTATAAGGGCATCAATCAATGGAATTTGTTCGGTGAACTAACTAGAGAAACTAGTCTTTGTTCTATGCCCTACGCCGCAACATGACGCAAATACTGAAAATGAAACTGGAACACGCGACGAATTGAAATCCAATGAAATGTCATGAGAAAGCCAATTTGTTTGTTTTTGTGCTTTGGGTTTTCCCTAGGATTGGTCTGGGGATTGAGGCCTGTGGTTGAGGATTGGGAGGTTCGTTATTGGGGATACGCGAACACTCGAAAAATCAAAGCAAAGGCAACGACAGCGACAACGGCAACGCCAGCGACAAGACGAAAGAAGAGCCAAACACTTGAGCTCATTTCCCAAGCGTTTTCGATTTGCATTCCTTTGATCTTTTTCCGTGGAAAGCCCAGCCGCAAGGGAGGAGAAGCCCCGAAAGGGAGATACAAACCGATTGATTGGTCAGCGTCTTTATATTTACGTATATTTACACATATACATATACTCATATTATTACGGCAGATAAGGTGTGGCATGAATGGGAGATGGGTCTGTGTCTTGAAGGCGGAGCAATTGAAGTGAGAAACCAGAAAGAGGCAGCCGCAAAATTAAGCGAAATGCAACGGCGAGCCAAATGGAAAATGTTGTTTAATTTTCAGAATTTCGCAGATACATAGACAAAAGGATACAATTTGTATTGAAAAAGCGTCAATTGCTGTATCTTATTTTCGTCCCTCTGCGGTTGTGAATCTTTATCTTCAATTATGTTCATCTAAATTGTATGTATCTGTATGTATGTATCTAAATTCGATGTATTTAAATCAGGGCTCGGCACGCATATTCGCATTCCCCTCGCCGTTTTTATAACCGGTACTCGAAGAGTAAATACATTAAATAAATATATTGTATTTGTGCACAAAGTATGTAACGCACAGAAGGAAACGTTTTCGACCCCATAAAGTATATATATTCTTGATCAGCATCAATAGCCGAGTCGATTGAGCCATTTCTGTCTGTCCGTCAGTCTGTCCGTCCTGATGAGCCCCTAGTACTCAGAGACTATAAGAGCTAGAGCCACCAAATGTTGCATCCAGACTTCTGTATGCTCACACTGTTACAAGTGTATTTCAATAATGAGCCCCGCCCCCGCAAAAGGGCAAAAACCTGCCAAACCTAAAATTTTTAAAATAAAAGAAAACTAAAAACGCCATTCCGTAGGGAATGACCATATCTATCAGATCACCATATCCGATTGGATCATTATCATAGCCATAATGAAGAAATCAATTTGCAGTGGCGAAACCCACCCTGTCCCGCAGCTTTTGTTGTTTTTTTCACATTCTATCATTCACACTCAGCTTCGTGTAGTCAGCGGCCTCTGCCTCTGCCACGAGTCTGCAGTGTGTGGGTCAAGGAAAGGGGGACGAGCTAAAGGAGCGTGTTGGTGTGAGAAGTGTCGTAGATGTAGATGACAGATGAAGAAAAATTTAAAATTTGACAAGACACCGCTAAAGTGCAGTTGTAGTACTGAGTGCCAGGTATAAAGTTGTGACGCGTAAGAAGCGTCTCACACGTCCCTTCTCGTTGTGTTTGTTGGTCAGGACGCACGCAAAACGGTACATTGGAATGTATTGGTATTGGTGCCTTGTCCTATGCACAAGAAATAGGTCTGTGCCGAGCCCTGATTATATGTAAAGTTAGTGGGAATCGCCTGTTAACTAGCGATGAAAGTGTGACCCAACATTCAGGGACTGACTTTAGAAATGTATTACATTTAATATATTAACCCCCTATGCCCATGCCACATTTCCATTGGCACTGCCACTAATCCAATCTTGCATCGGCTGTCCAGCGGACACAGGCTTCTGGGCCTCTGGTATGAGAGTTTTTGTCAGTGTGGCATTACTAATTGGTGATTACGAGGGGAAGTCGACAAAATATGTTATGCTTTTATTTATATTTTAAAAACAGTTTTCCCCTAGAAAAGAGCGTGGAAGGAGAATGAGGCATGTGCTGTGGGAAAGAAAACGAGGAAATTCAAGTGGCTATATTTAAAGCGAGGAAAACTCGTACACGTATGAGATGCGTACGTGTCGCGATGCATTTGCCTGATCTTCGTGAATCCATGAAATAGGTGGATCTGGTGGATCTTTTACTGTATCTGTTTGCTGCCTTTGGGGCTGCATGTTTTTCATCAATGGAGTTGAAAAATCCCTGGCCCCGTGCCAATTATTGTTGCACAGTTGTCAAGAGGCACGCACTCGCCCTTGTATTCGTATCCGCATCTTCATTCATTCAAAATAGCAGAAGTGCGAATGGAATCACTAGTCAACAAAATTAAACTGCCGCTGTGAACCGAACCGACTGTTTCTGTTAGAAACCAAAAATTCAGACCAACTTTCGAAAAAACAAAAACAGAAAAACATTGTCAAATATTATTTTGAAAGCGTTATCTTTTCCAGACGGTGGGCTGATGCTACAAATACTCGTAGTTTGGACCCGAATTGTATTTGCATTTATCAGCTTTTCGGAACAGAAAACAGTTAAGAACAGCCAGATATATTAATATGATTAAATAATGTGAAAAAAATATCAAGTTAAAAAAAAATAAGTCTTAAAAAAAGCGATAACTAATTAACAATTATAAATCCTCGAATCCATCAGAGACAGTCGATACGGGCCGAAGCGGAATGCGAAATGTTATGTTAACTAGTGGAATCAGCGTCTTATACAAGTCCATCCAAGTCTGCCCTGACAAAAATTTGACCCCGGAGGAAAAAGGGACATAAAGAAGACAGGCAATGGCCGCCAAATTGCGCGGCTGGCAAATGCCAAGATCAAAAGTCGATAAAATAAAATGTGTTTAACCGATATATATAAGAAAAACACCATTCTTTAATGTTACATACCCAAAAATTTAACAGTGCTCACCACTGTTAATATAAGAGCTGTTAAAGTTAGCTGTTTCATATGAGCAAGCGGAAATGATCGAACCAAGAATTTGTTTCATCAAGTAAACATTTCAAAAAAAGTAAATATATCAATATAATTGTATTTTTTATAATGTTCTTGATTCAGACAGGCATTTAAAATGTGTTTGTGACTTTGAAATGAAAAAACGGATCTCATATGTTTAATAGCTAGTTTTTTAACAACACTATATATGTGATGAAAATTTGTCTTTAAGTTTTCGTAATTTAACCAAAGGTTTGAAAGTCCTGAGTGGAAGGTGGAACTCAGTAATGAAGTAAATTACAAACAATGAGAAGGGACGTGTGAGGCACTTCTTACGCGTCACAACTTTTATACCCGGTACTCACTACTACTTCTGCACCTCAGCAGTGTTTTATCAAATTTAACATTTTTTCTTCATCTGTCATATACATCTACAACACTACTCACACAAACACGCTCCTTTAGCTCGCCCCCCTTCCGTAGACCCACACACTGCAGACTCGCTGCAGAGGCACAGGCAGCGCCCGCACACAAAAAAAAAAGAACAAGAAGGGACGTGTGAGACGCTTTTTACGCGTCACAACTTTTATACCCGGCACTCAGTATTACATCTGCACCTTAGCGGTGTTTTGACAAATTTTAAATTTTTTCTTCAATTGTCATCTACATCTACAACACTTCTCAAACCAACACGCTCCTTTAGCTCCCCGCTCTTCCCTAGACCCACACACTGCAGACTCGCGGCAGAGGCAGAGGCAGCGCCCGCACACAAAAAAAAAAATATATATATATATGTGCTGCGGGACGGGGTAGGTTAAAAGTCGGCAGAGGCAACGGCAGGGGGAGGGCAGAGGCAGAGGCCAAATGAAGCAGAAGCAGAGTATGAATGAGAGAATGTGAAAAGAACAACAAAAGCTGCGGGACAGGGTGGGTTTAGCCACTGCAAATTAATTTCTTCATTCTGGCTATAATAATGATCCAATCGGATCCCAATTTGGTGATCTGATAGATATGGCCATTCCCTACGGAATTTATTTCCCTTTTAGTTTTCTTTTATCTTCAAAATTGTAGATTTGGGAGGTTTTCGCTCCTTTGCGTGGCAGGAAAGGGGGCGTGGCTCATTTTGAAATACACTGGTTTCAGTGTGAGCATATAGCAGTCTGGATGGAAAATTTGGTGGCTCTAGCTCTTATAGTCTCTGAGAACTAGCCGTCAAACAACACAGACAGACATAGCTCTATCGACTCCGCTATTGATGCTGATCAAGAATATATATACTTTATGGGGTCAGAATCGTTTCCTTCGTGAATTAATGTAGATGTAGAAAAAATGTATATGTAAAATTTAAAAAAAAACCACCGAGATTTATATTTACTACTGAGTACCGGGTATAAAGTTGTGACGCGTAAGAAGCGTCTCACACGTCCCTTCTTGTTTTGTGTGCTGTTTGTGTGGCATTCTCCCGCGCTGCCTGTGATAATTATTATGGAGCTCTTAACGCTTTTATTGAGTGTAAAACGTTTCGCAGGCGTTCGCTCTTGAATGGATATGAATTAGATTTATATTTATATCAAGATATACTTTTTTGCCTAAATTCCCTAAGATCCCATACGATTTTGTCACAGCAATGATAACGATCCATATGTGTGGCAAGCATATTTGCCTCTTCTCCTGCCTCTGCCTCGACTCCATTTTCACCTCCGAAGACTTCCGAGTCTCGACGCATGTGGCTTGTTATAATGCAACAGCAATGATGCACTGAACCAGAACGTTTTCTTTGGTCGCATGTCTCGGGAATTCATCCAATTTCTGTGCCAGCTGAACCGACAAATAAATGTTACAGCCTTTCCATTGAATTGTGATTTGTGGAGTGTGGGAGGGAAAACAACAGACCAACTGAAAAGGCGTTTACGATGATCATCAAAATTGGGGCTTGCGATTGGGCGAGCAAGGTAGATGCTCAGATACTTACATTTAATGAGTAACACTCATTAGTGTCACTCATTCAGTCTCACAAATCGATGGAACGCCCCAAGAGAAAGTATTAATTAGCCCAAATTCCTCGATACGGTCTTCTAGTGGGAATATTTTCGGGAGTACATACATATCTGTCAATAGTTTGGTGGATAAGGAAACAAATATACCATTATAAAAGAACCTGTAAATATTTAAATAGAGTTGCGAAGAGGGTATTGTATTTGTGTGGAAAAGTGGATGTATGTAACGCAGAGAAGGAAAAGCTTCCGACCCCATAAAGTATATATATTCTTGATCAGCATCAATAGCCGAGACTATGTTTGTCTTTCCGTCTTGTTGAGCGCATGGATCTCAGTGACTGTATGCTCACACTGTTACAAGTGTATTTAAATTTAATTTTGAAGATAAAAGAAAGCTAAAAATGCCATTCCGTAGGGAATGGCCATATCTATCAGATCACTCAATTGGGATCCGATTGGATCATTATTATAGCCAGAATGAAGATATTTATTTGAAGTGGCTTAACCTACCCCGTCCAGCAGATTCATTTCGTTTTCTGCACATTCTCTCATTCACACTCTGCATCTGCAGTGTGCAGCCTCTGCCTCTGCAGTGTGATTCTCTAGGAGAGGGGGACGAGCTAAATGAGCGTGTTGGCGTGATAAGTGTTGTAGATGTAGATGACATATGTAGAAAAAATGAAAAATTTGAAAAAAAAAACTGAATTCAACCTTTTGCATGAAAAAGCGAGCACGCACTGAACCTTTAGAGACCGAACACACCCGAAAGCCACGCTACAGCAGCTCCTTATATAATTGCTTCATGGTTCGGCTCTTGTTACTCGCCTTCATGACAGAGACAGATCGGAAATTGACTTCAGTTGCTAATCAGCCGTCGACAAAGCAAGGTCACGCTTCGCAACTATTGAATGCCACACTGTAAGAAAACATACTCAATGAGAAGTGGCAACAAAACTTTGTGTTTGTCCAAAATTTAGATGGCAATGCGATTGTGCGATTTTGTTGCGTGCAGTTGTTTCTTATAATTGTATTCATTTTTTATATCCGGTACTCAAAGAGTAAATAGGGTATATTGTATTTGTGCGAATAACGGTTGTATGTAACGCACAGAAGGAAGCGTTTCCGACCCCATAAAGTATATATATTCTTGATCAGCATCAATAGCCGAGTCGATAGAGCCATGTCTGTCTGTCCGTCTGTCCGTCTTGTTTGTCGGCTCGTTCTCAGAGACTATAAGAGCTAGAGCCACCAAATTTTGGCTCCGGACTGCTGTATGCTCACACTGAAACCAGTGTATTTAAAAAATGAGCCACGCCCCCTTCCGCCCCCGCAAAAGGTCGAAAACCTCCCAAATCTACAGTTTTAAAGATACAAGAAACCGACATTCCTCAGGAAATGGCCATATCTATCAGATCACCAAATTGGGATCCGATCGGATCATTATTATAGCCAAAATGAAGAAATTAATTTGCAGTGGCTAAACCCACCCTGTCCCGCAGCTTTTGTTGTTCTTTTCACATTCTCTCATTCACACTCTGCTTCTGCTTCATTTGGCCTCTGCCTCTGCCGCCCCGCAGCCTCTGCCGACTTTTAACCCACCCCGTCTCGCAGCTTATATTTGTTTTTTTTTTATGTGCAGGCGCTGCCTGTGCCTCTGCCGCGAGTCTGCAGTGTGTTGGTCTAGGGAAGGGGGGCGAGCTAAAGGAGCGTGTTTGTAACAGATGAAGAAAAAATTTAAAAGTTGACAAAACACCGCTAAGGTGCAGATGTAGTACTGAGTGCCGGGTATAAAAGTTGTGACGCGTAAAAAGAGTCCCTCACACGTCCCTTCTCGTTTTTAATGCTTTCATCCTACAGATACATTTTTTTTTTTTCCGCATTTGCCTTTAAGTTTATTTCGTTTTCAGTTTCATTACATAACAAATTGCTCTTTTGTTCAGCACCCATATGTACATTCAAATATCCCTGCACCGTGTACATATGTATGGGTGTTTGTGTGTGGGAGCGTGTTTGTAAATGTTCGTACATGTGTATGTATGTACATATATCATTGGATCTTCTTCTCTTGAATCTAGAGCTTAATTTTTTTATAATGTCTATGCAACCTTATGTGTTTCTCATTCCGCTAGTGTCGTCAGTCGTCTGTCGTGTGCCCCGTCAGTCGTCGTTGGAGCATTTTACTTGACTTTACGTTTCTTTACTTTTTTCTTTATTTAATCGCTCGCTTTCTCCCTCCCTTTTCCTCCCTTTCTTCCTTTTTATCTTTTATTAAGGTTTTTGTAATACAAAAAGAGTCAATTAAAATGTAGAAATGGGATGATAAAATGCGAAGGAAGTTTGAAGGCTCAAAACTTTGTATCTCGTATATATTTTATGGTTTTAAAAAATATAAATGTTTTCCATAGTAGTTAGTGTCCACCCCCTCTCCCTCCTCGTTTGCTATTCGCACTTTAGCTATTCTTTGCATTTCTTGTTCTTGTTCTAGTTACGTACATATTTATGTACATACATATGTACAATGCTAAATACATAAAAGCGAAATGCTAAATAAACTTATAAAAGTAGTTACGACAATAAAAGTTTGATTTAGAAATATTTCATTAATGTATCTTACCATTTAAAGAACTTAATTAAATTCATTGAAAAAAATTGTAAATGTTTTTCACTTTTTTAACTTTAATTTTTTCATTTGTAATTTGACCTTCAGTCATCAACTGACATTAATTTGAAGATATATCGTATGAAAACCACTAATTACTCGGTTCCTCCCAGTTTTAGTTTTACTTCAACCAAAATGGCAATGCTACGTAGGAAATATACAAACTTACAGAAATTATAACCACAGGTTCAGTGCCGCCAACGCATTAAAATGGTTGGTTCTAATTTCTTTACAATTATAATTTGAGCTTGTAATTTTAATTTTAATTCGTAATTATAACCGGTACTCGAAGAGTAAATAGGGTTTATTGTATTGTATTGTACCAGACTGCTGTATACTCACACTGAAACCAGTGTATTTAAAAAAATTGCCCAGCCCCTTTCCGCCCCCCCAAAGGGTGAAAATTTCCCACAGCCACAATATGGAAGATAATAGAAAAAACGCCATTCAGTAGGGAATGCCCCTATATATCAGATCACCGAATTGGAGTCAGTTTGGATCATTATTATTGGATCATCATTATAGCCAGAAAGCCTACATGAAGAAATTAATTTTCAGTGGCTAAACCCACCCCGTCCAGCACATTTTTTTGTTGTTTGCACATTCTCTCATCCACACTCTGCTCCGTGTAGTGTGCGACACTAGGCGAGTGGGGCGAGCTAAAAGAACGTGTTGGCGTAAGAAGTGATGTAGATGTATATGCAGATGACATATGTACAAAAAATGTCAAATGTAAACATCGAAGAAAAAAACAATAAGGGACAGATGTCTTACTAAGTACCCGGTATAAAAGTTGTGACGCGTAAAAGCGTCTCACTCGTCCCTTCTCGTTCTTAATTAAATAATGTTGATTCTAATAATTATAATTGTCTGCTGGACATATGTACATATAAATATGTATTTATGTAAGTACATACATATGTATCTATGTACATATGCATAAAATGTCCTGAAAGATATAATATTATTTTGAAATGGAAAAAGCAACTGGAACGTGTACCATTCGAGTGCCACGACCCCTGATAAGCTATCAAGGGAAGATTTCTTCCTCTGCCCTATCTCGACATGCTCTCGCCACAGAGCCAAGAAATTTCTAAAACATTTTGCTGCCTCTGACGAGAAACAAATTTGCGAGCGCAACATGTGCTGCTGCCCTTCAGCCGCGCAAAAGTTTCAATCATCATTATCATATTTATAAGCATTCAGCAGCAGTATTACAAGACAGCAGGTTCGAATGACACAAACAAGACAGCAAATTATGATATGTGGTTCTTATCTTCCTTCTTCCTATTCCCCGATTCCCCCTTTCTTTCAGTACAATAACTTCACGTTTGTATCTTACTTGTAATTATGTACATAAGTGTGAACAGGGGATTTCCTTCTGCGATGCCAGACCTATGTATACCGCAGCTCCTGATCCACGACCCGAGCACGAAGTTACACGTTTGTGGAGCGGGAAACCAGAGAGCAAGCGACAAAAGTCATAAATTTAGAAGCAATAAAACTTTCAAGACAAATAAATGCCAGTCGTTCCGAGACACGAGTTGAGTAGGCATTCCCTCTTCTTCGCTTCAATTGTTGTTGCAACACCACCATAAACCCCGAATCACGCAAAATATTTAAACAAACAGTGAAAAAGGGGGCACCGTGGGGCAACGCGCGCTTGCGTGCCGTACGGGTGGCCCGGAATCAAAGACAAACCAGACCTTGAAACGCGCAGTGCACACATTATACAGCGCACTCACGCTTATGTCAGGGGCATTAATTTATGTGAGAGGAGGAGATCGGCAGTCCAGGTCAACTTTCTAATTGATCATGTCCTTCAGTGCCATTGAGGATCATTGAGGATCATAAGGATAAGGACAGATTGTTTTTCATCTTTGAGCTTGATTTCTCAGCTAGGGAGGTAAAGTACACAATCTCACTTTGTTCCTAGGGTGATTCTAATTTCTGAAATGCTAAATGCCATTTCAACGAAAACAATTTTTATTTTTAAATATTTAATAAATTCATCATACAAATGTATTGAATGTCATTAAACTCATTAAAAACGAGATGGGACGAGTGAGACGCGTCACAACTTTTATACTCGGTTATCAGTACTATACATCCTGTACCTTAGCGTTTTTCAAATTTTAAATGTTTTCTCCATCTGTCATATACATCAACATCACTTCTAATGCCAACACGCTCTTTTGGCTTCCCCCCCCATCCGCTAGAGCCACACACTAAACGAAGCAGAGTATGAATGAGAGAATGCGTAAAAAAAACCAGACGTGTGAGACGCTTCTTACGCGTCACAACGTTTATCCCCGGCACTCAGGACTACATCTAGATGTAGAAGACACTAGAACCACTAGATATCGTTCACATTACAGAACACGTAGTAAAAAGACAGACAGACAGACATGGCTCTATTGACTCGGCTATTGATGCTGATCAAGAATATGTA